GATGAGCTAGATGACATGCCATTTTATAAGAAAAAAATGTTTTGCTTTGCATGAATAACATAGAGATAAATTGTAACAGCCCCGAAAATTTAAAAAGAAATGTATATAAAGAATATGAATGCGGAAGCGAAATAAAAGGTTCTGATTAATATCCCTTACACAATAACTTAAACGTACTAACAATATTGAAAAATAAGTTCTCTAAAGAAAATACTAGAAATGAAAGACTATAAGGAAACTAATAAACATCTAGGCATCTACTCGCCGTCTTCTTGTTGATCGGGCTGGGGAACCAAGTCCTTCTGATCTGAAATGGTTAAGTAAGGAATGAGCTACACTAACCCATTAAAGACATCACACTATATCACTGTCATAGAAGTAAAGGTTAGTAAAAAACCAAAAACAACCAGTGGAGCACAAATCTTGAATAAATTCATTTATCAATAATCAAACCATTTACCATCCACTTACCTCAGTGGGATTTATAAAAATGACCCATGGAAACAACAACATCATAGATATCATGAATTCATACATAATCTGTAATATAGCACATGTCATACTTTTATATTTCAATCATCAAACAGCAGTTGCCCCCTTTTTATCAGCCTACTAGTATCCATGGGGATCCATAGGGGTCCCCGCTACATGTGAACCATTCCCTTAACAAACTTAATTTCCGGGGCCGTCCCCATACCTTGTCTGGTATGGGCATCAAACAATAAATCTCAATATCCTATCTGGTATGAGTGTGAAATGGGTCATCCCCATACCCCGTCCGGTATAAGCGCCAAAACATTTAAAGTCTCCATACCCCGTCCGGTATAAGACAACGTTCCTGGTAGGGTCCCCTATGGACCCGGTCCGTCCACCATCTCCCAGGATATCTAGTGAGGCTGTCAACTTATCCATTTATTAATTCACACCTCTTTCCTATTTTTTTCGTAGTTTTCCGTTTCCAACATAAACATGAATACTAAAGCAATTAACGAGCATCCAACAAGGCAAGTATATCATTAGATTCACAAAATCAAACCGAAATGAAGTAAATAGTGATTTATGCATTCAAAACTATAGAATAAATAAATCAGATATCATACTACATTTAAAATGTAAAATAACTCAAACAGGAACTAACAGAGAAAAATGTTCAGTTCGGGCTCCATTAGCATTCGTCATAGATTATGCATATCTATTTAATTTATACAAATACAGTTTTATCATTTATTAGACTTTGATCCCGTGATAGGAAATAGGGTGAGGAGTTCTTACCTAATTCGACGTCGAAAACTAGATTTTCACTGCGCCTACGGGCAGTCCTTGGATTCCCTGAATTTTTCTCTGAGAACTGAAACGTGTTTACGGTACCTACACATGTCCCAAATAACTCAAAAATCAGACCCAATGCCTATTCGACCAATTTCAGAATTCCAGCACGGCGGCTCCGCCGTGCTCCGGCAACGGCGCTGCCGCTCGCGGCAGCGATCCACCTCAGGTTGGCTGTTTCCGGTTGTTTTCGGCTGAATTCAGCCAAACTTGCATTAGTTTCTGTGAAAAAACACCCTTAGGGCTCTCGGTGGGCCGAAAAAATATCGAAAACCGAAACTTACCGACGGCGGAACTCTCCGGTGCGGCGGCTCCTCTGGCTCGAGTCGCAATTTGGTGTTTTGCTCCGGTCAACCTGTAAAGGAGGGAACGGTGGTCACAATGGTGAAAAAATTACATCGAACAGGAATCAGAAAGGACCTCATCGGAGGTAAAAATTGAGAAAACCTGCGGCGGCACCGCTGGGCTTCGGCGTCGTTTTCCGGCCAATTAGCTGGTATTTTTGCTCTGATTTGGCCATAGGTGGGTTCAGCATCGAATTCTGAGCCAAGGAGAGAATTTTTACCTCGTTTGGCGGCCGAAAATTGCTCAGTGCGGCGATGGGTGGCGGCCGGTGGCTCCCCGGCGGCTAGGCTGTCTTCTCCGGCGAGGGGCTCTGACGGCTAGGGTTAGGGTTTGGGTGCAGATGAGATTATTTATAACCATCCGCTTTTAATCTGAGCCGTCCATCGCGATTCAATCTGAGCCATCCGATCACTATTAAATAAGAAATGAACGGGGCCATTCATCGCGGTGCAATCTGGGCCGTTCGTGCGCGATTCAATCTAGGTCGTCCGTGCACGTGCAATCTGGGTCGTCCGTGCGCGTTTTTTATATGGGCCGTCTGTGCGCGCAGGAACGGATTTTAGTCGTTCGATCACGCGCACGCGGATCGCCCACGTGGCTCCCTTCCGCGTGGCCTCCCGCGTCAGCGTCTCTAAGACGCGGCGTGTCCTGGTTGGCCGGAGTTGCTGACCGGGCTGCTGACGTGGCACAATTTTTTTAAATTGCGCTTTAACCCCCAGTTTTTAATTTTCTTTTCAAAAATACCTCCATAACCTAAATTTTCACCCATTTTTGTCAAAATTATTTTTAATTAAATCCTTAAATAATTTTACTCCTTTTTATTATTATTACTATTATTATTTCTATTTAAATAAATTAAATTAAATTAAAACTATATATATTATTACATAATAATTCATTATTTTCATATAATAATTTCAAAAAATTAAAATAAAATAATAATAATAATAAAAGAAAAGAAAAGGGTTGGGGTGTTACATGAATTCTTTACTTTAGAACATACATATGAGATGGTATTTGGAAAGAAGAAGAAAACGAAAAATGGTGCCTGAAGTGTGGAGTGAAAAAGGGTAAAAACGTTTGATGGTATAGCTGTTGGTTTTTTTTCCGATATGTAGGCTTAATGTGGACCTTAGTATGCATATCGGACTATTAATTTAATAGATCCATTTAAAAGTGATCAAATATGATTAAACAATATTGGATCTTAATGCATAGAGTTATGTATGAACTTGTAATACTCAGACACTATTTTTTGTAATATTCTTATTTTATGATGGACGAAATAAAAATTGTAAAAGTTTATCGATATAAAAGGTGATTATGGTTTTCGAATTATAAGATTGTCATTTTATTTTTTTGAAATGCTGTCACTAGAAAAAATTACCCTTTTAAGGTATCGTGTTGATTTGGAAGTACCTACCGCAAGATGCAATCAAATCTTTCGCGATGGATTCAGGTACACTTCCGTTTATCTTTTCTCGTTAATTCAGTACGAGATTGCGTATTTACATTTACAGATCTATTGATTTAAAAAATATTTTTATTCTCACAATGACATCTACGTGGGTGTTGTCATGAACGCCACATCACTAAATTTAAATATATTGTGACGTGATTTGTTTATGTCATGTGCTTCGTCAGTGAGATTAGATGCTATTAGAAAAAGTTAATTAACAAAAGGTGATGAATTTTGTCACATTTTTTAAAATTTAGAGAGAACTTTGATAAAAAATATTTTGAAAAAAAAAATCAATATATTTGTATAGTTCATGAGATGTTTTGGTATTTTAGTAGTTGTTCTACTACACTAAAGAATAAGAGAATATTTTTTTATAAAAGATATGATCATGATTTCTACAATTTATTATAAAACATAATTGTAAAAAGAATTTTTTTCATTAATGTTAAAAAAATTTGCTCGTTTATAGAACTCCTATAAGAAGATACAAAACATGTGCACCACTATTGGATAAGGTATAATTTGCATTGAATCTTGAATTGGAAACATTGGGATTAGTCATGTTGTTAATTTGGCATTGAATAGAACAAAAGTATCCATGGGTTTGTAATATAATACATAATGCACATTGCCCATAACAAGAAACACATGTTTTAATCATGTCCTGTTCCATTTATTTTTGGACTTACTTGTTTTCTAAGATAACTTAGAAAAAAAAAATCCTATTTGTTTTTATTTATACTCTCAAATCCCACCATTAACGGCCAATTATTAAAAATATCAATTATTATTGATACCTTTAAGTTGCATCATATTCTTGCATCTTAAGGTTAATTAAGTGTCTAACTTTTACTTAATTATAACAACTCTAAATTAAGGAATAAAATTAAATTGTTAAAATGTTTCTTCCAAAATTATTAAATTTGTAATTAGAAACAATTTAAATTCTTCATTTTTTCTTAAACAATTCAAATTTGAGTTATGGAATCTACCAAGTGTTATATATTAATTGCTCTTATTTAATTCAATAAGAAATAAAACTTTCAAATATTTAAATTTGAGGACAATATTATTTTTTACTTAATCAACATTAAAGAAAGCTAATTAGTTCTAAAACATATATAGTTTTTTTTTAAAAAAAAAAACTTTACTAAAAATGTTATATACTAACTAGTTAATTTATGAATTTTCCATCAGTTAACAATTTTTTTTTTTTTTTGGTAAATTTTTGAAGCACTCATAATTTCTTTTGACTAAAATTAAATTAATTTCAACATCATTTCTAAGTACATAATAAGACAAATTACATTTTGAATGATATCTAACTTATGATTTTTTATATGTATCAAATAGGGCAAATTAGACTTGAATGACACCAGAATTTTTGGTTCCTAATTTGTAATATTTTCATGATTATAAAACTTAAAAATACATATTTACAATAATTTAAAATATATAAAGATTTTGGCCAGCATTCACTTGTCAAGACTTTTTTGGGCCATTCAACTAAGTTGCTTCAAAATAAATTCTCCCAAGATTTTCATAAACAAATATTTTTTAATTTTTTAATAATTTCAGTTGGAACAAATTTGTTTAAAAATAATTTATTTTTTTTGAAATGTTATATTCTTTATTTTTTATTAAAAAATATGATTTAAAACTTTTGCCCGTAAATTTATCCTACCAAAATCTGAGTTTAAGAAAACAAATCTTTAAGAAGAAACTGCCACGTAGCCCCCAAAATCTTCTCAATTAGTGACAGCAAGTAGGTAGCACCAGATTTCTGTACTACCACGTCGGCGGATAATTTTGCTTTCACTGTCATTGACCATGGAAAAGAGAATTGGCGGGCGAAAAGCAATCACTCATTCAAATCAAAACTAAAGCAAAGCAGTCACGCTCCATCTCTCTCTACAATTGTGAGCAAGCAACATGGAGGAGAGTCTAAGGCCGAACATGGAGTCCCTGAGATTGATTTGTGACAAAGAGATCACAACACACCAACAGAAAATGGATTCTTTTACGGCGTCGTTCCGAAGGTCTCTCGAGTCGATCAAGACCCGAGCACAAGCGACTGTTCAAAATCAAGGTTCAATCTGATGTCTCTTGTAATGGAGCCAAAAATCAGATTTAATTATTTTTTGTTTTTTGTTTTCATTCTTTGTCCATCAGTCTGTGAGAAATTAGGGTTTCGGGAATGACATGGTGAAAACAAGGTTGTAACTAGGTTTGTTTACTGTCGAAATCTTAGTAGTTTTGATTAGTATGGTTAAGATCAAGAGGTTGGTTTTTTATTTGTTTTGGCAGCGAAACTAGCTAAGATGAAAGCTGAATTGAGAGAAGCGGAGGATGAATTTGTGAAGATTTTAGCTGGTAGGTTTCTGCAACTCGTTATTTAAGTTGAATTTCTTGTGATGTGACTGTGTGTTTCTCTGGTAAAAATTATGAAGGTGTTTGTTAAATTTTTTGTCCAAGCTTGAACAAGTTAGTTCAGCTGCATTGACATCATTGTCTTATTTGAACTCCTTAGTTCTGCTGTAAAATTACAGCATGCTTAAAGCCTGATAGAATAGTGTAAAAGAGCATTATGACAGCTGTAGGTATACGAATTTCTTGGGTCTGTGCTCTTTAAGAACTCTATGATATCTAAATGCTTTCTCTTGGCATCTTAGGTACATACCAACAAGAGATGCAATTGATGACTTCGAACATGTAAACTTGGTAGTCATGGGCTTAAATTTGGCTTGTTTTTGGATTTTCTTAGTGCTTCGAAGTTTCCTTTTGAGCATCATATCTCATTATTTCAAGATGTAGTATGTTGAAGTGGATTTAACAATTGTTCTGTGATTATTTTTCTGCAATATAAACTTGGTAGTCCTGGGCTTAAATTTGACTTGTATTTGGATTTTCTTTGTGCTTCATAGTTTCCCTTTGAGCACCATATCTCATTATTTCAAGATGTAGTATGTTCAAGTGGATTTAAAAATTGTTCTGTGATTATTCTGCAATATAATGTGGGATAGTATGCTTGAAGAAGTTGCCCAAAACATTCTGGAAAGCCAAATGCTAAGAAAACATGATTTTGCAATGATGCATGAGAAAGCATCTATCTTGGAAGTGTGAATGTGAATGGTTCTGGATTACTCACTAACAGTTAGCGTCACATCATATATCTGTTGGTATTTCTGGCTTCTTGTGATAACTAAAATTCATTCACTGTCTGGGGGTCACGATTGAGAAAGACTTTATTCAGGAAGTCATGCTTTCAGAAATATCACATAACATGATGTATCTGTCATTTTCCTA